CCCCGCCCCGCCCCGCCACGAGCACGCCGATAACAACTGGAGAATGAGTCCGCCTCGCTAGAGGTGGAGGGGACGCGACGCACGCGAGTGATGCTGGAGGACCACATGTCGATCGCCGACGCCGAAACTTATATACTCGCGATGATAGAGCCATCGGTCTGCTCTTTGCCGCACTCCTGAGCCTCCTGAGCCCGACCTACCTGTGAGGGAGGACAACGCTGGGCGGGGCGCCTAGTGTAACACGTGGCACGTGGACGGCTCCTGCTGTCCGCCCGCCGCGCGCCTCTGCGCCTAGTTGGCTCGGCACATGGTTAGCGTCTGTGTGTGTGTGTGCGTGCGCGCGCTGACTGACCTGCCGCAACGCCACAACCAAGACCGTGCTCTGCGACGCTGACTCTCAGAGGATCGCGGCCCCGGAGCGCGGGTTGCCTATCACTCCTCTATCTCTCCCCTCCCCTCTCTCTTTCCCTATCTCTCTCCCTCCCCCTCCCCCCCCCTCTCTCTCTCTCTCTGTCTCTCTGTCACTCCCTCTCTGTCACTCTCTCTCTGTCACTCTCTCTCTGTCTCTGTCTCTCTCTCTCTCACACACACATACACACACACACACACACACACTTCCGCCTCGGCGGCAGCTGTAAGTCCACGCCCGGAGCTGGAATGCTGGAGCCTCGGCCGGAGCCGGCCGCCTGCTGGTCGCGCAGGGCAGGGCAGTGCGGGGTCGGCTCGCGCGGTGACCGTGCAGGGTCACGGCCGGCACGGAGGCGAGCTGGAGCGAGCGTCAGCGACAGGGCGTGGTTCGAAACATTTCTGCAGTTTCCCTCCCTCTCCCACACACACGCGCAGAGGTTATCCATCCTCATCCCGTCTCTCTCGCACCGCACGCTCGCTCGCCCGAATCGGTTGTGAATTCCTGTCGAAATGGAGAACGCGGCAGCGGCGGCCGGGGGCCGGCTGCAGGAGGAAGCTTTGCGAAAGCGCTGCATTCCCCTCGGCCCGCGCCCTCAATCGCGCGCTCATCTGTCTTTTAGTTTTTGCCGTTTTAAAAAGCAGCAGACCTCACATGCTTTATCGCAGTTTGATGATAAAAACGAAACACGTAATTTTTTCAATTTTTATTCATGTTTATCTTTTTTTTTAGTTCTTCGTGTTTTGGAAAAAAAATAGAAACAATACCTAGTAAAAATAATGTAAAAAATGAAGGTACACTAATGATGACGTTTATCTGCTCTTGCTGAAGCTGTAGGAGAAGCCGTCGGGCGTCCTGTTGAGGTCCAGCTTGCCTGGGGGGAAGAAGCGGTGAGGGGGAGGGGTTGTGGGGTTGTACTGGGGGATGGCGTTGGGCGAGGGCTGGTACTGCTGCTGGGGCTGGGGCTGGTACTGGGGCTGGGGCTGGGGCTGGTACTGGGGCGCGGCGGGCTGGGGGCGGTAGCCGGTGTTGGGCTGGAACGCGGGGTCGTTGTAGCGAGGGTCGTACTCGCCGGTCTCGTCATAGGCGCCGCCGGACGCGTGAGACGCGGGCGCGGGCTGGTACTGCTGCTGGGGCGGCTGGTACTGGGGCTGCGGCTGGTACTGGGGCTGGGGCGCGGCCGCGGGCGGGGCCGCGGGGGCCTGGGGCAGGTGGTCGCCGGACGCCTGCGGAGGTTACAATGAAAACAGCGTTATGGGCGCCAGGACGAGGACACGGCAGGTCGCCGTCGGCGTGGACGCCGGCCGGGACTCACCTGGAAGCCGTTCTTGCCGGCGGTGTAGCTGACGGTGCGCCTCACGCCCGACGGGTCCACGTAGCTGTAGGCGCCGCGGCGGTTGCCCTCGGCGTCGGTCTCCTCCTTGAACTGGACGCCGTCCTCCTGGGTGTAGGCGGCGCCAAAGGTGCCGTCACCTTGCAGGTACCGGGCGTCGGTGAGAATGGCGGCCGTCTGGGGGTCTCGTCGGTACTGCTCCTGGGCCACCGAGGAGGCCACCAGGGCCGTCGCCACAAGCAACACCTGCGCGAGGAAGGGCGGCGTCAGAGACGGAGACAGAGAGTTCACCTCACGGAACAACTCGCAGAACGCGCCTTCCAGAACACTTTGTGGAACACCTCGTGGAATACTACACGGAACACCTTGAGGAACACCTCGCGGTACACCTTGAGGATCTCGCGGTACGCCCCGGGCAGTGCGTCGCCTAACACCTCACGGAACGTCTTCCCTCCCGGCGCCGACCTGGCCACGAGGGTGACGACCGCCACACCAGCCTCAGGATAATGGCTCGGTGAAAGGCTCTTCCCCAAGGTCCTCGAGGGCGCGGCGGGGCGTGGTGGGGCGCGGCGAGGTGTGGCGGGGCGTGGCTGGGTGCAATAGAGCGCGCTGGACTCCGCCCAAGCATACCGCAAGAAAGCCTTCGAATATGAAATAGCCGCCGTACGGTACGGCGTGCGCCGCCTGCGGCCGGCGGGCCGGAGGCTCTGCTACCCTATATCGCATTTGCTCGCATTTTGCTACTACACGTCGATAATTTTCCTCCAGTCCAGAGTCGACGCAGAAAAGCGAAAAGTCCGCGGAACGTTGGCAATCATCCTCTTTGGCCCTGTCTCCTGGCTCGGACATGATCGTTGCGATAGGCTTTTGGCAGCGGGCGTAAAAGCGAACCCGCCCGCCCTGGGCGACACCGCCACTGCGACACCGCAGGTACACTCTGATGCAAGAGCGCCGACCGCCCTGCCGCGAACACGTGGACATGTCGTGGATACGTCGTGGACACTCGTGCCCCGCGCGTCACCCCCGTAACCGAAAAACAAGCCGCCGAACATGCACTAAATCAATCACAAATATTGGTAATAATCATCGACATTTCATTGAACAACACAAACTGAGAACGCTGTTTCGTATCCTGCCGGCACACACTACAAGCTGTTTACTTCCGCACAAAACTGCGATACATTCTCGGAAAATGTTCAAACTTGATCAAATGAAACTCCCTTTTTCGGCACATCCTGGTTTCGCCCGGTTTTCCTTTACTACTCACGTTTGTGTACATATTGGCGACTGAAGTGGACGCGAACTAAGGCTTGCTCCCCCCCGCACGGCTTATATACAGCGGCCGGCCAGCCGCCCCACCGGCACCCCCA